TCAGACATAGAATAAAGAATCATGCAGAAGTAAACTGACCTAATTAGAATTAAATGCACTCTGTGATAAGCGTTTACTATGCTGACATTTGTATTTTAACATTTCCATAATCATTAGTCACACGTTGTATACAGTATTTTGATAATAGCTTTAAAACATTTTGAAATTCCATAAGCAGTAATTTATAACTGCCCATGTGAAAGATCAGTTTAACCCTCCTTTCACAGCTGAATCCAGCAGAGCGAGGAGATTCGGTCTTCTTCTCTTGCCATGCCATTAATTCCTATGGAGAGGGCCGGGGCCTCATTCAACTTACTGTTCAAGGTACATCTATAGACATCCATAGCTGTACAGTAGACATGAAAAATGTATGTCTTTATTATTTCATTTGTCTTATGGTTGCTTCTTAACAGAACCTCCAGATCCCCCTGAACTTGAGGTCCGTGAGGTCAAAGACAGGAGCATGAATCTGCGCTGGATCCAGAGGTTTGATGGGAACAGCATCATTACCAGCTATGACATTGAATACAAGAACAAATCAGGTAGGCCAGACCATTGCACAGTCTCAGATATTACCCAGTAACATATCTAAAAATAAAAATCATCTCTGTTTGACAGATTCCTGGGATCATATGTACACAACAAGAAACATCTCACCTACCAATAACCAGGCCAACATTGTAGAGCTGCACCCAGCCTGTGTCTACAGTATCCGCATGTACTCTTACAACAAGATCGGCCGCAGCCTTCCCAGCAAGGAGCTCACTATTAGCACAGAGGAAGCACGTGAGTGCACTTTTCTCATAAGGGCAGAAAATAAGTCTTCAGTTAAGATTATTGAAATGAAATCGAATTATAACATAAACAGCTTGGCTATCATGTCCAATGTTTTTGAAATTAAAAATAAATCAGCATTGTAATTGTATTTAGTAAAAGCAATCTAAAATTTATATGTTTTATTTAATTAAAAAAATAATAATTGTGCGTGCTTTCTGGCTTTACAATTCCCTGGATTCACTTAATTTTATTTAAAATATATTTTACATGATAATAGTTATGTTTTATTTTATAATAATATACTTATTATATATTTTATCAGCACCTGATGGGCCCCCAATGGAAGTTATCCTCCAACCCATGACGTCTCAGAGCATACGTGTTACATGGAAGGTATATATTTCAGTTTTATATTTATATTAAGAGCTGGAAATACACTGATTTGAAGGATAGATTCTACATACACTTTAAGTATTCCTAAGTATTTTCTTTCATGCTTAACCAGTTTTGAAATTCAGTTATGACACTGAGTGTATTCTGTTATTCCAGGCTCCGAAAAAGGAGTTGCAGAATGGTGTGATCCGTGGCTATCAGATTGGTTACAGAGAGAATGGTCCCGGCAGCAATGGCCAATACAGTATTGTGGAGATGAAAGCCACAGGAGACAGTGAAGTGTACACACTGGACAATCTAAAGAAGTTTGCCCAGTATGGAGTGGTGGTCCAGGCCTTTAACCGAGCAGGCACCGGACCGTCCAGTACTGAGATCAATGCAACAACTCTGGAAGATGGTAAGAAAGTAATTAATATAGTAACAAGCTATTTTTGATGAAAATAAGCAGTGGTTATCCTATCTTCTACATAATACACATATACACACAAATGAACAGAGAGACGACATGGTAGAAATGGATTTGCTGCACATCCCCCATTATTCTTTCTTCTTTAATTAGCACTCTCATTAGGCTGGTAGAGCTAGAGGAGCTATGTTACTCTATAAATGTCTGCCCACTCCGCCTTTGCTTCCTTTAACTGTTATCCTATTACATAGCCTTATCTCGGCCTTTATCTGGCTCTCCTATCTTTTTACACAACACATTTTCTTACTTGTGTTTGATCAAAGCGGGCAGTAATTAATGACTGACATGGTAATCATGATAACTGAAAATACTCATGTAATTGTGCATGTAAGATTCATATCTTAGAATACCAGAGATGAGTATTGTGCTGTTGGAGGTTTTATTCTGCCTAATGCAGCTCACCCCACCCACTGCATCTAGATTTAACCCCTTGAGGTGTCGCTCTTATACTGCCACAGCTCCATCCTGGCTCTATCTCATACAAGATCTAATAATACTACTCACATTTTTTCAATGTCTATACATTATTATGATCAGTACATTAAAATGGCTTTGTAGACTAGAATAAACTGAATTTTGTCCAGACGATGTGTGCTGAGAAAATAATTGCTTATGGAGAAATAGATAACAAGTAATGCTTCATATCACATAAGAATATAATGTATGCATGATAAACAAAATCAGTCTTTACTGATACAGTTTAATAGCTGTAATGTCTACATCAGTCTGGTTAGTGCATTTCACTTTGGTTGTTTTGTTTACTTGAATCCATCGTGCTTTTCTTTCCCTAGTGCCCAGTGAGCCCCCTCAAAACGTGCGGGCCATCTCTGTGACGTCGGATGAGGCGGTGATCACCTGGGCGGAGCCTCCACGGCTGACGCTGCACGGTGTGCTGAAAGGCTACCGCGTTGTGTTCTGGTCCCTCTTCCCTGACGGAGGTGGGTGCTGTGGGGGCCAAGCCCAGTGGCCAATGCAGAGTAATTATCACCTATCATTCTAAATTTCACCAGTCTGCCCATCCAAACACATGCCTGTCCATGTTGTGTGCTGTTATTGTGTGTTTATAGTTTTCATTGACAACATCAGAATCTTCCCCTGTTTGTGTGTAGATTAGTTATGAATTCATAACAGAAGCAAATTGTCCTTGGCACGTGTGTTAATTTGACTGTCTAAATCAGGGGTCTCAGACTCGCGGCCCGGGGGCCAACTGCGGCCCGCGGAAGGATTTTTTGCGGCCCTCCACTTGATTCCAAAGAATAATGTCAGTGCGGCCCGCGGTAGATGTACGCACAATCCCACCCCCCTACCGCGGGCCGCACTGACAGATGAAGCTGCAATCGGTGCCCATACAGATTCACAACAGATTATTAACGCAGTTTACATCCCAAAACTCAATTTACAGCAGTTGTGAAGCAACGAGTTTAAGTGGATCTGTTAATGCAAGTACACGTGCACATACGGCGTCACCGAAGAACCAAAACAAACCACACATGGTGGTACGCGTGTGCGCACTTCACTTTACGCTCCCACAGCCACAGTATCAGAGTGCAGAGGAGGCGCTGACAGAATTCCCCTGTTCATAAGTATGGGACCTTTATTGGAGGGGCTAATAAGAAATAAAAAGACACTGACAGTCTGTTTACCTGCTCAACACTCGGTGCGTAACTTGCTGGCAACCCGATGACCAAGCTCCACCTGTGCATCGCCGAAATCCACGCGCACTCAGCGGCAAACACAGCTGTCCCATCAATATGCAAGCACCACAAAACTGCACTGATCTATTCCAGAGGCTTGGCGACATGTTAGCAAAAAGTACGAGGCAAAAACAAGCGTCTTCCATCCATGTTTGACATACGAGAAGCAGATACACTCCAGTGTGGTCCGCATTCACACCGGCAAACGAACCAAAAACTGGTCCGATTAACGAGCCTCTATATCCCGGTAGAACAGCGATATCTCCAGTAACCAATACTGATGTTCCTTGTTAATACCGCGGGCCGTCCTCATCTTATCACCATGAACTCATAAAACAGCAACATGTAGAACTTTGTACAAACTCACCGCATCAGTCCTGAGTTCGGGAAACAGCAGCAGCCAACAGCGTTCACAGTAGCGCGCAGCTCCTCAGGACGGCGCTGGAGTCTGGTCCTTGGTCTTCTGTCGTCCTACAAGCGCGTTGGTCAGATGGTCCGGAGGCTCTGTCCTCCATGTGCTGGTTCCAGACGGTGGCGAGCAAGACTAGTGCGCAATGACTGGGTCTGAGCGGGTACGTTCCGCCGTCTGCGCGTTGTTTCCGTGTTCCGTGTTCCGTGCGGGGAAAGCGAGAATGCGCTGTGGACTACACCTACAGGTCTGTGCTGCTCCTGTCCTCCGCGCTCAAGAACCGCGGCTGGTTACGAGGTGGAGCAAAGCATCTGGACAGAAGCGTGAATCCAGTTTAGTTGGTGTCCGCATTTGGTTCTTCCCGGGAAAAGCGCTTTTCACTCCCCGCTCCACGTCATCTGAGCCCGGACAGAACCGGGGCTGCTCTTGCTGGTTCGGGACTCGGGTTTGGATCTAGTCCGACTGTATTTCTCAGACTAGGCTAAAAGGACATTTTTAAAGGTGAATCAACTGAATGGGCGATTGCCTATTGCCATAAAATTATTTGGTTAATTAAAGCCTAAAATAACAAATGCTGGTTCCTACATGATCACGGGGAACACCGGGATCTCTCTGTGCGTGCAGGTCCTGAACAGAAGTACACACCCCCAATTTTGACTCACTCTGGAACCACACGTTCGCACGTACTTGCTCTGATCTTCGTGTGTTACATTCTCTGTATTGGCCATTGTTGGTAAAATAATTCGAAAATGAATCGCGGCTGCGTCTGGACAACAATCTGTTACTTCGCTGGAGTCTACAGCGCGTCATTACAGACAGGAGACGCGTTTCTCCCATGATGCATCTAGAATAGTTCGTTTGGACCTGCTGTCTATGGTTTGGACCCGGGTTCGCGTTCACACCAGAGGAACCGCACCAAAGTTGGTCATTTGGGTGCGGATTCAAGCGAACCGAGACCACCTCTTTTTTGAGGTCTTCGGGGTGTTTTCACACTGACAGTATTTGGTGCGCACCAAACGGTCCATTCAAACCAAAAGTGGTTAGTTCGGTTCGTTTGCGTTGGTGTGAAAGCATCAATCGGACTCGGACCCGAACCAAATCAAGCGGACCGAGATCGCAAAAAAGAGGTGGTCTCCAAATGACCAACTTTGGTGCGGTTCCTCTGGTGTGAACGCGAACCCGGGTCCAAACCGTAGACAGTATGGACAAACGGACTATTCGAAATGCATCATGGGAGGGACACGCGTCTCCTCTGCCTGAAATGACGCGCTGTACGACTCCAGCGCAGTAACAGATTGTTGTCCAGACGCAGCCGCGATTCATTTTCGAATTATTTTACCAACAATGGCCAATACAGAGAACGTAATACACGAAGATCAGAGCAAGTATCAGTGTGCGAACGTGTGGCTCCAGAGTGAGTCAAAATTGGGGGTGCGTACCCCTGTTCTGGACCTACACGCACAGAGACGACCCGGTGTCCCCCGTGATCACGCAGCAACCAACATTTGTTATTTTAGGCTTTAATTAACCAAATAATTTCATGGCAATAGGCAATCGCCCATTCAATTGATACAACTTAAAAAAGTCCCTGTTTTTAGCCTAGTGTGAGAAATACAGTTGGACTAGATCCAAACCAGAGTCCTGAACCAGCGGGGGCAGCTCCGGTTCAGGCCGGGCTCAGAGGAGCTGGAGCGGGGAGCCTCGACCTGAGGAAGCGCTTTCCCCGGGAAGAAACAAATGCACCAAGGACGGACGCTCAGAACAACATATAACAAACCAAACTGGACTCACGCTTCTGTCCGGATGCTGCACCACCTCGGAACCAGCCGCGGTTCTTGAGCGCGGAGAACCGGAGCAGCGCACCGGACCTGTAGTCCACAGCACATTCTTGCTTTCCTGCACGGAAACAGCGCGCAGACGACGGAACGTACCCGCTCGGACTCAGTCCATCAAGCACTGGTCTTGCTCGCCACCGTTTGGAACCAGCACATGGAGGATGAAGCCTCCGGACCATCTGACCAACGAGCTTGTAACAGAAGACCAAGGACCAGACCCCAGCCCCGTCCTGAGGAGCTGCGCGCTACTGTGAGCGCTGTTGGCTGCTGCTGTTACTAGAACTCTGGGCTGATGCGGTGAGTTTGTACAAAGTTCTACATGTTGCTGTTTTATGAGTTCATGGTGATAATTTGAGATGAGGACGGCCCGTGGTATTAACAGGGAACATCGGTGTTGATAACTGGAGCATCGCTGTTTTACCGGGGAAACAGAGACATGTCAATCGAACCAGTTTTGGTTCGTTTGCCGGTGTGAAGGCGGACCACACTGGAGTGTATTTGCTACATAATAACAATTTTATTGCCTGGTGCGGACCAAATAATCGAACTGTGTGAAAACGACCTCGGTCCACTTGAGTTGGTCCGGGTCCGAGTCCGATTGACGCTTTCACACCAACGCAAAGGAACCGAACTAACCACTTCTGGTTCGAATGGATCGTTTGGTGCGCACCAAATACTGTTGGTGTGAAAGCACCTATACAGGTCAAGGCTCACTGATGAGCATCTTCAGTCTATCCTGAGGATCTGCTTCCTCCTGCAAGCCAAATATCTCAGCTGTACAAGATGAATCGTAGCCAGGTTTCAACCAGCAAGGAGTAGGCAAAAGAAGAAGAGTAGACGTAGTAGTTTAAACTTACGTTCTGAATACATTTTCATGTTCTGAACTGTTATTAAAGATTAAGAAAGTGTGTTGCATGTTGTTCTTTCTCTCTCTTTTTTTCCCCGTGCAACAGCTATTTATCGAATACTCAATGCGGCCCAGCCTCACTCAGACTTTATCTAATGTGGCCCCTAGGTAATTTGAGTTTGAGACCCCTGGTCTAAATGTATCGTTTTCTTCTGTAAATGCACAATATATATATATGTGTGTGTGTGTGTGTGTGTGTATATATATATATATATATAAATCCAAAAACTGCCTGCAAACAAATTGACACAAGTAATATGCAGTCAGCATAAATACTTTATTAATTCCTTTATTGACCAATTGAGTTTGAGCTAAGCATTAAACTAATGTTCAGCTAATCCTAGATAAATGTTATTCTTAATGTTGACCTAAATAATGTACTTTATTGTCAGAGTGGGGAGAGATGCAGAATATCACTACGACTCGGGAGCAGGTGGAGCTCAGAGGACTGGAGAAGTTCACCAACTACAGCGTCCAGGTTCTGGCCTACACACAGGCCGGAGATGGGGTTCGCAGCAATGTGCTCTACATCCAAACCCGAGAAGACCGTAAGGATATTCATATTCTATATTCAAGCTATAGACACAATTTAGGGTTTAGGAGAATCTCTTTTTGCTTCGCATCAGAGGAGTAAAGAAGAGGGAGAGGTGAGGGGGATACATCAAAATACAGCGCTTGCTTGTATCTCAAACCCATGACAAAAGCTCATTTATGCTTGGAAGCTCCATTAGCACTACTAATGAGAATTAAGAGGCTTTGGGTGCACAGCGCAGAGCTGAGGGAGGGCCGAAGTCAGCCAGCCATCAGTCAGACTGCATCCCCTCTACCAGACCCCTTGCCATAGGCATAGGGATTAACTCCTCTTGGATTAGAGAGAATTAATTTTGTGCTTACACCATTGGAGGCGGGATTACAGCAAGATCCATGTCTCTTTGTGAAGTGGAAAGAGGAGGGGCCTCAGAGTTAAAGATGGAAGGATAGATAGAACAGCAATAGAGGAAATAATAAACTTTAAGTATTTTACAAATCATTAACAGTGCTCTATGTACCTTAATTTTGGCTTTATAAAGTTAACTGTAGTGTTAACATCTATTGTATTGATTTCATATAAAACTTGATAACTGTTTAAAGGTTTGCCTGTAGAGTACTATAGTACCTCACAATGCTGGTCTGTAATCTTGGGTCTGGGCAGCTTTTGGGCACCAGATGGGATTTAGCTCCCCTCTTCTTCTGCCACTTTTGAGATGGACATCCCGTTATGATAATTATGTCTGCCTCTGTACCCCTCCCCTCTGGCCTCATCATCACTTCCCAAAGGAAATGTACCATCTCCCATTCCCTTGTCCACACCTCCCTGGTTTGAGCCCTCTATTCTTAACTTTGACTCCAGTTATCCCTACTTGTGTAGTAAGCTGCAGAGGGGATGAACAGACTGACTGACTGGATGAAGGGCCTCACTATAAAGATTTAGGGGATCCAGTCTTGTTCTGCCTCCCTCAGTAGAGCCCAAAGGAGGCCCATTGTCAAGAGGGACTCATATTTATGGAGGGCATTGAGTAGACCTGACAGTGTTAACCTCACACTGTAAAGCTGCTGCCACAAAAGCATCATTGTTCACAATTTCAATAAATCTTACGTCTTGATATGTTTATTGTAAAATGTCTCACCCGTTTAAACATCCTTTGTTCCTTTGGCGCGATTACCCCTATTAAGAGCATTAAATGGTGTCCAGTGTTGGCTCAAGTGGCCAGCACCATGGATCAGACCCCATCTAATCTGTTTGTGAGACTTAAGTGTGTTGGGTGTTACAGAGTCGGAACTGCTGACCACTGTCTAAATGAACATATGTCACTGGCCTCTGAAAGGGAGTTCCTCCAAGTCCTAGAGCTGCTTAGAGAAGGATAAGAAAAGCAATCTGCAAACAAGTCTGCTTATTTTAATAGGGCCCAATGCCCAGCGTGTGTATAATGCTTCAAGATCTTAGTGATGCTACATTCACTGTTAAACACCTTCATTATAGTAAAGGCATATCTGGACTGCTTGTTTTTATTCATATGCTTGCGTAATCCTGCATATTTAGACATTCTGCCGCTTCTCCTCATGTCATTATGTGATAATCGAGGTAGTGTTAATTTCTGTTTAGTCTATACATGCGTAGCACATAGCTTTCTTTACCAGGCTCATTCTGATCATTTCAGCACTCAAACTGCACTGCACCCTCTTGGTAATTGGTAAAAGGATTTTGGAGATTCTCTACCATTTAAAAATATATCATGTAAAATGCCAATGCCAAGCTGTACAAAAGTAGTTCACAAAAGTAGCTACATTGCCTGAATAATGCATAATTTACCACCTTTAATGGAAGAAACAATGCTTCTTGTTTTTTTCTCTAGTCCCTGGTCCACCAGCTGGCATCAAGGCGGTCCCTGCCTCACCTAACAGTGTGGTTGTTTCCTGGTTACCGCCTCTCAAACCCAATGGTGTTATCCGCAAATACACTATCTACTGCTCTAGCCCTGGCTCAGGGCAGCCGGTGAGTCTGTCTTATGTAGTAGCATCTCAGCACTGAAGAGGAATTTGATGAAATAATTAATTTGTAACCAGTATTACTCATTAAACCTGCGCTATCCTTGCTCGTATCTCTTTCACTGTGTTTGCACCACCATTTTATTTCCTGCCCTTCCAGATGAACAGATGAGGTTGTCTTGGCAACGTGATGAGACGTAGATATGCAAATGAAGCAGCGAACAAGCTCACACACGCACACTGCCGCATCCAAAGCACACAGACACTTTTGGAGGCATCACAATTGAACATTTTCTATTTATACGTCTACTGTACGCACCATGTTTCAGGTTGAGGTTAGATCGTGTGTGCACAAACTCAAGCACCTCCTGAAATCTGATATGAGCCTAGATCTCACTTATTTTTCACAAATCCTTCTCCCTGTGTGTGCATGAGTGCCATGTAAATGAGCCCGGCCACAGAGAGGAGGGGGAACAGACACGCCATTAGCAGCAGGGAGAGGCCGGGGGAGAGAAGAGAGAGAGGGGAGAGACAGACCAGGGGATGGAGTGCTTTTGTTCATCTTTTTATTACCCTCAAATATCACTCACGGATCACCACAACATCTCACCACACCACGGCCACGATATAGGAATGCCTGAGCGTACCCCTCCTCTCAGTCTTTCGTCTCCTCATCCCTCCATCCGCTCCTCTCCACTGAGCTAGACAGAGAGGGATAGAGGGAGTTGAGATGAACAATGTGATACGAACACATTAAGGAAACAGAGGTACTGACTTGAGAGAAAAAAGTGCTATATTGTGCCTCAGGTAGTGAAAGAATCTACATCTCATTTATGCCAGATCCGTAACCCTAAATTGTGTTTTAGTTTGTTTTACAAGCTTTCATGTTCACAAATTTAGTTTAGGACATATCTTTTTTATTCTATTAATGTTATAATAGTCTGATTTATGAAGCAAAAAATGCATACACCTGCATTATACAGATGCATATATATTTTTAAATAGATTTGCATATTATTAGTATATAGTATAATTTTACAAATCAGTGGTTGATTTGCTGTTTAAAAAACAAACAAATATGTCATAATAAATAATAATAATAATAAATATATTTTAAACATAGTTCATCTGCAAAGTATTTGGTCTCTAATATATTTGGGTTGGTGTAAAAGGTGTTAAGATACAAATAGAGATACAAATAAACAAAAATATGTGTATGCTATAATCTACCTTACTGATGATTGTTTATGTGTTACACTACTGCCTTGCTGGGCTATTAATACTTGTAAATATCTGAATGTTAGATATATTGATTTATTATATTTTAGTGACTGGTGATGTCTCCTACATAGAAGTATGGGCTATGTTGTGCATGAGAACTTTTCCAAGAATAGGAATATCTATTTTTCCATTTCTTAATCATTGTTCTTGTTACACTATGATTATGCTTTTTTAAATGACATATTAAAAAAAAGTTATCAAATGAAATCATGACCCTCAGCAGTTGTCCAGATATGGAGATGGTTCCTTCTTGTTAACACACCGGTGCGTGCCCTCTGTCCCAGGCACCCAGTGAGTACGAGGCCAATCCTGAGATGCTCTTCTACCGTATCACGCACCTCTCCCGTGGTAAACAATACCACATCTGGGCTGCCGCCGTGACAACTGCCGGCCGCGGAAACATCAGCTCAAAGGTCACCGTGGAGCCTGCTGGGAAAGGTAGGTCCCCCGGGCAAGTGTGTAAAGCATGAGAAGGTTAAAGCGATTCCTATAAAGGTTATGATGTTACAAATATGGCCATAAAAATGACAACAACATGATGCTTGCCTCTTTCACTTTTCAGGGCAGCTTTATTATTGACTGACAGTCCCAGTATTGATTGACTAGAAAGAAATGCTGTTGTTAATTATGTGGTGATGAACAGGGTCTATCTAGTAAACTGACCCTCAGGGAGTACAATAGCCGGCAAGAATCAATAAAGAGGAAAATCTATGGAGAAAAGACGGATTCAGTCCACAAGGCCAGGGGAGGGGCACGGTTAAACCTAATTCAGTACCTTTTACTTAGACAGTAATGCCTCTTGTCAGAAGGAATTGGCCAGTTTGATAACAATAAAACACTGTTTACTATCAATAACATGAAATCAAATTTTAAACACTAAACTTTCTGTTTTTGGTATTTAGTTCCAGCCAAAATCCTGTCCTTTGGTGGCACAGTGACCACTCCCTGGATGAAGGAAGTGCGTCTACCATGTAGTTCAGTGGGAGAACCATCCCCAACAATAAAATGGACCAAAGACAGGTGAGTTTCTAATGATGAAAAATCAGGGCTGTTGCCATAGTTTTTAACAATTAAAAATGTTGCATTTAACAGAAATCGAAAACCCATGGATAACACAAGAATAGGGCTTATGTGGGAAATATTAACATGTGCATCTTTCCATACAGTGATAACTCTGCCATCCCAGTGACAGCTGATAGCCAGAGACAGATTCTATCAAACGGGACGTTGCTTTTACGTTCAGTCAAAGCAGAGGACTCTGGGTACTACACCTGCACAGCTACTAACACACTGGGCTTTGACACAATAATTGTTAATCTAGTGGTTCAAGGTATGAGATCAATTTGAAATACATATGTTTACCTTTTATCTTAATGAGAAGGCTAATTTGCTTTTTTGGTTTGATTTTTAGTTCCTCCTGACCAGCCTCGCTTGACTGTGTCAACTACCTCTACTTCCTCCATCACTCTTACATGGATACCTGGGGACAACGGAGGAAGTTCAATCAGAGGTAAGAGCTAAAGACATTTTATACTGTGTTTGAACTGATTGCTAGATTCTCTCAAGAGTAGATCATTTTCAATATTATTCATCACTTAAAACTAAAATGTATTTGATAATAATAATAATAATGATAATGATAATAATAATAATAATAATAATAATAATAATAATAATAACAATCTAAGTTGTCTCTAGGTAGACTTGAATGAACTCCTTGTCAATTGTGGCTTTATGTCGCCACCTGGTGGCCAGTCAAGCATCTGCCATTGTAGTCCACTGCATTCATAATTTTTCCTGAAATCTTTCTGACAGTGAGAGTTTGTATATTGCAGGGTTTGTGCTGCAGTACTCAGTGGACAACACAGAGGAGTGGCGAGATGTGTTCATCAGCTCTAGTGAGAGGTCTTTCAGACTGGACAATCTCCGTTGTGGAACCTGGTACAAGGTCAAGCTGGCAGCCAAAAACAGTGTAGGCTCAGGGCGCATCAGTGAAATCATTGAAGCCAAGACTCATGGGAGAGGTAAGTACTCATAAAGCAGACAAGAGCAACTTGATGAACATTAAAGATGAAATATTCTTCTTCTTCTGGTTTAGGACAATCTCTCACAACATGTTGCGTTTTAAGCAGAGTTAATGGGACGAATTATCCAATATGCTATAATACAATACACAATAATTATTAGATACATGATATAAGTAGAAAGTGGAACTTTACGTAATGTACAAACCTACATAATACAGATGTCTTTTTGCCCCTGACATAAGTTGCTATTGGGCAGTTAATTAACAAAAAGTCTACATTAAATTACACATTACTGATTATTTGGTCTTGTTCATGTTTTTCCTTATCTCTGCAGAACCTGTTTTCAACAAGGACCAGCCTCTGCTCACACATATCAACTCCACTCATGCGGGGCTCAACCTGCAGGGCTGGACCAGTGGCGGATGCCCCATCACTGACCTCCTGCTGGACTTCAGGCCTAAAGGCACCTGGGCCTGGCAGAGTGTCAAAGCCAACTCCACATCTCAGCTGTTCCTCAGCGAGTTGCGAGAGGCCACCTGGTACGAGCTGAAGATGAAGGCTTGCAACAGCGCTGGCTGTGGCAACCAGACATCACAATTTGCCACCACTGACTACGATGGGAGTAAGTGAAACTGCAATAATACAACTAATGTGTGAAGGTACTGGTGATTTTAAAAAACAGTTTTTGTTTGTTTTGTCAGGTACCATCCCTCCCATTAAATCTGCTCGTGGAGAAGGAGACGATGTGAAGAAACTCTTTTCCATTGGCTCTCCAGTCATCCTGGTCACTGTGGGTGTGGCTCTGCTTTTTATTATTCGGAAGAAGAGAAAGGAAAAGAGATTAAAACGACTTAGAGGTGAGACCACACAAAGTTTTAGAAACCGGTTTAATGGATGACAGTAATCTTTAGATTTAATCTAATTCTAAAACTCCCTTTCTTTCTAGATGCTAAAAGTCTTGCGGAAATGCTTATCAGGTAAAAAGGATTAATATTAATAGAGTCCAATTGGATTCTATTTTGAGATGAGCCTTAATCTTGTCTTTTTTTTAACAGTAAAAACAATCGCACCATAGACACCCCTGTAAAGGGCCCTCCTCAGGGGCCTCGGCTCCACATAGACATCCCTCGGGTACAGCTTCTCATTGAAGACAAAGAGGGCATCAAACAGATTGGTAAGCAGAAGTGCAAATATCACGATCTTATGTTATCTTATCCCAGGACACTGTGATAGTGGGTGTGTTTTTGTTCAGGAGAAGACAAAGCGGCTGTGCCAGTAACAGACACTGAGTTCAGTCAGTCGGTGAACCCACAGAACTTCTGCACTGGCGTCTCTCTGCACCACCAGGCCCTCATACAAAACTCAGGACCACTTATTGATATGTCTGACATCCGCCCAGGAACAAGTGAGTTACATTATGTTCATGCTACAGATATTTATATAAAAACTATTTTGTCTAAAATTAAATACAATGCTTGACTTTATCAGACCCAGTGTCCAGGAAAAGTATCAAGTCCGGCCACAGCTCCAGAAATAGATATTCAAGTCAGTGGACTTTGAGTCGGCCAAGCCAGACCCAGTCCACAGCATCAGCACGAACTTTGACCTCTGACTGGAGGACTATGGGTTCACGTGGCATCACTGCCACAGAGAGTGACAGCTACAGTGCCAGTCTTTCTCAAGACACAGGTAAATACATTACATACATGTAAAAATGCAAAGATTAACCAAGGTAACTATAAAATGTCTTTGAACTGAATCTGAACTGGCTTTTTTTTTTTTTTCAGATAAAGGCCGTAACAGTATGGTTTCAACAGAGAGTGCCTCTTCCACGTATGAGGAGCTGGCCAGAGCATATGAACATGCTAAGCTGGAGGAGCACCTGCAGCATGCTAAGTTCACCATCACAGAGTGCTTCATATCTGATAGTTCATCTGATCAAATGACCACCGGCACCAATGACCCAGCAGACAGTATGACTTCTCTGAGCACTCCTTCAGAGCCAGGCATCTGCCGCTTCACTGCCTCGCCTCCCAAACCACAGGACTATGACCGTGGCAAGAATGTGGCTGTGCCTATCCCACACCGCGCCAAAAGTGAGTGTATTTTTGACAGTCTAAACCAGGGGTGTCCAAACTTTTTTCATCTAGGGCCACATATCCAAACACAGACGAAGCAGAGGGCCGATCAAGGGCCATAGACTAATGCTCAGTACTGTGAATAATTGAAATCTGTGCATATTTAACACGTTAGAATGAGCCATCAGTCTTTATTCATGCTAAGATCCTTAAAACCACACACTAAATATTAAATATCAGCTTTATCCAGGTAGGTTCTCAAAAAACTTGGAGTAAAAAATTATTTTTTAATTGACGCAAGGTCATTTGGGCCAATTCACCTGGAAGTCTGAGGGCCAAGAAAAATGTGTCTGAGGGCCGCATTTGGCCCCCAGGCCATAGTTTGGACATGCCTGGTCTAAACCCAACACAAACAGCATCAGCAAAGCTCATGGCCATCTGATTCATTATAAAACAAAGATTTTCACATGGTTACATCATTCGCTTTTCTTCTCTTACCTCAGGTGAATTTTGCAATCTTCCCCTCTACATGAAAACAGACCCGTTCTTCCGTAAACAAGGGGAGCTGCACGACCCGTGTCCTGCTGTGCCTCCACGGGAGGCTTCCATCCGCAGCCTCACACAAAGAGGCTATCACACCCAGGGACGCCACAAGACGCTAGACTCCAAACAACTGGGCCACTCGGGGCCCAGCAGCCTGGGCTCTAGCTCAGGCACCTCCACCCTGCCCCAAAGGACTCTGACTATGCCCAGCTCCAACACAGCGGCCACAGCCTCCACTTCCAGCACCAGCAGTAACCCCAACAACAGCTCCAAGGGTGGCTCCAGAGACTCTCTTTTGGAGAGCAGCTCATCTGCGCTGGGCAGGTTGCAGAAACAGAGTGCAGGCGCCTACTCCAAATCATACACACTAGTGTAGCGCACTCATTTGCACTGACTGAAGCGCCCAAATCAGGGCTGAGTGGGGCAGGGGGTACAAACATCTCCTTATCCCAGTTATGGGGGGCTCAGTGTCCTGCTCAGCTGCTCTCTTACTGCAGGAGGCTGTCGTCCGGTGGAGACCCAGCTAACCGGACTTTTTCATGTACTCCTGGGACTCTTGAAAAACTACTAACTCAAACTAACAGATCCAGCAGGCTGGTGCTCGCTCTGCTAATTTTTTACTGGGGTTGCACTGCGCAAAGCCCGGAAGCAATCCTGTGGTCATTTTGAAAAGCTGACTATGATTGAGGAGCTCTGTTATTACAAGATGAAATTTTTGATAGCCAGTGTGAAGCTGTGTGGTCATCTGTCTCTCATACATGCTCTGTCCTTACTTTAGTCTTATTATCTATTTGAAAACTTGAAGTTAAGTTTCCTCTTCTAACTGTTACCCCTTCTCATGTCGCTTAATGTCCCACATTGAGATTGGCAAATTTACATTTTAAAAATTCCATAAAAATCAGGTAAGCTTTCAGAAAAGATCAAAGTTTTATCATGTGAAAACTTTCTGCACATCTCCAAATGAATGACACATGTGTAATAATTCACATGACAACCCAAATAAGTAGCTTTGATTTCTCACATAAAAATAGAGATTATTTGGTATTATAAAGAATTACATATATATTTCTATGTATAGTATTGACATTTAAGTGAAATTATGACAAAGTATTAATAGTGTGCACGTAAGTACTGGTGAAGTGCATACTGCAATTTATGGTATGGTCTACACTACTAAATTTATTAAAAGACAATCGCTCAGTCACATGAAGAGGAATTTAAAAATGTTGGATTAAATAAAGATAAGTGAATATATAATATGTTCTGTATGGTACTGTTGGCTGACTGCGTTAGAGAAGAGATTTGAGTTTAATTTACAATCTCAATATGAAGTACAAGGGTTCTGGTGAGTCCTAAATAACACACAAATACTATGTAGCATTGTCCTTACTGTGTGTGTTTGGAAAATACCAGGACAAAGGAGTTTATTATACCATTTATGGCTTTGAAGAGGAGACCTGGGAGTGGTACATTTCAATAATATCTATGTAAAATCTTCTAATCAGTATTACAATCAGACTATCTCCTATTATTGTTGTTTTTATTTTATAACAGCTGCTAAAATCTATTACTAAACCAGTATTATGGCCCAATTGCCACTGTCACAAACTAGACAGAAATCCTAGTCATGATGTGAATGAAGCTTAAATAATATACTTAATGTCAGGGAGATCATTTTAAGATAATATAATGTTCACTCAATTGAAATATCTTATATAAATGTTTTCCTATTTCTGCGGTACTGTATATGTCCCATTTGTTTTCTCCCAATGTACATTCACACTCACAAAACTTCAAGGAGGGTCTTTTTTGAGACGCTCCTGAACAGTGTTTTGTAGTTTTCATTAATTTATTAATTTGTTTCTTTGTCCATTTGTCTGACTTAAAAGAGTTTAAGGATATATTTTATATGTATTTTATTAAATTAATTACATTTTTTGTTTTGTTTCAGCAGTTCTGGTACATGGCCTAAACCAGTCCAGCCTTGTCAAATCAGGGACCCGTAGCTCTTTTGGTCACTAGTGTACATAGCGGTGGACATGAGCAGGTCAGATCAAGTGGTGCGTTCAGGCTCCTGTCCAAGCCCAAATGAATTCAATTCAAATGTCACTTCCTAAACATGGCTCCTTGATTTGTCCCTTTGTGAGTGTTGTTTATAAATCAAGTCTTGTACATAAACACAGTTTTGTATGAAGAGCTATTTTCAGCAGAACAAATCAGGGGACCCATCAGGTTTGGATGCCCCGCTTTCAAAATCTAAAATCAAACATTATTTTATTTCTGAAATGGGCAAATTATTCTTTTCCCTTTATGTGTTTGATACCAATTTGTTGACTTTTAATTGTTTTTAAAAGGTCTTTTGATGTTGTCATTTGTCCCGTTAACTTTTATATTATTTTATTTATTTTTTATCCTCAAAGTCATTGCATGCTTGCTTAAAGGGAAAATAGAAGGAAAAATGTATGAAAATCAAAGCAAAATCAAAAAAAAGTTGCGGGTATCCCAAACATTTGTTTGAGTTGCTTGTTATAGCAAATGCTTGTGTTCAAAGGTACATTTTCTATGAAAAGAAACAAAAACTAAAAAGATCATTCTAACACCTTGTGCAATAAAGCTATCTTTCATATGTTATGGCTTCTGTCAATTTCAAACACTTTCTCTGGACAAATAGGCCTAATACAATATATAATCTTGTTTACATGTGCAGAATATTGGATTCATTATGAGGCTTTGAGTGAGATAAAGGTAACAGTTAGACTCCTGTGTGCAGTTTGTAAGGACATCCATGCAGTCTAAATACTATAAATGTGCATTTAGCTTGTTTACATATTACTAAAATATAACCCTTACTGTATATAAAAGTTTTGCCAATGCAGCGAAAGGGTATACTGTAGGTTTAAAGGGACAAAGTATCTGCTTTACTTCTTACAAAAGGCCACAAGATGGCAGTGTAGTATAGTCCCTCGAGATGAAGAGTGACGCTGACGGACCCTTGCCACTGAACGGGGGCAGTCGTTCATGACGGAGATGCTGTTAATAATTAATCTAAATAGAGTCACCTGCACTGGCCCCAGCTACTACACCAGCGTGTTGGTCTATTAGGTCAATGTTATTTTACTCAAAAGTCCTACTGCACTGAAATTATAGCTATGAAAGCTTGACTCCCTGTGTTTGTTTACTGACCTGCCAATCACAAATATCACTCAAACCACCCACTATTCTACGACAGCGGAGAAAGCGCAGATCAAAACATCATAATTAGACGCGTGTTGTATTGTGAGATGTCAGCGGGGTGTGATAGGTCTTTTCAGGCGCTGTCTGCCTCTTCACAATAACAGTCCTTAAACAGCCAAGACGCGAAGTGTCAGATCGGTGGTCCCCGTCACAGTAGGATTCATAAAACTGCTTTTGTGCAGCTTAACAACAGCACAGATGGGCTACTTGTGCCACCAGTGAAAAACAACAGGTGCTGAGGACAATTTTACAAGATTTAATTTATTAACTATTATACAGTTCACATAAGGCCTTCATCTTCAAACACTTCAAATTTCATGGTCTGTCCTTGGTGCACAGTAGATATGCTTCTTCTACTTAAGTATTTTCATATTTGTTCTGTCTAATTTTATGTTTTAAAATGGAAAGAGGCTTTCATACTTCATTTGAGTATTTTAAATCATGCATTAACCTTAAGTGGCCTTGAACCATTCACAAAAATTGTAAAAATGGACTTTCAATCATTGAAATACACACTAGAAATGTCTTCTACCATTGACTAAAGGGTGGAGCCCCCAACATACAAATAAACATATTATAGAGCAGTATGCACTTTGCCAATGTTGAGTTTGGTCTAATGATTGTGTACACCTGGAGTTAGCGGCAGGTTGATGATTCTGTCATAGTTTGGAAAGACAAACTGCAAACAGCATTGTGATCGAAAAGTACCAGTGAATTCAGCTCCCAAAACCAGTGCTCTACATACAATGAATGGACCAGGACAGAGACACGCAGAGTCTGGGTCTGCTGGTTCAGTTTCTCCAAAGACTTCATTCAAGACAGTGCTTCACTTCCATTGGATCGTTAAATGATTGTGTCTTCATTTACAATGCTACCATTGAACATGTGTTGCTTGTTTTTTTTCTGTAAAAGGGGAGGGTGTGTAAGCCAGCGCTAAACTAACTCACTAAAGCAGCAGATGGGTCTTTCCCAAGTCCCATTCACAATTATATAAGTCTACAGGGTTGTGTTTACTGGGACCATTGAAACAGTGAAAGGACTAAACCGTCTGAGTTACAAGTCCTTAATATTAGATGAAAACAAAGAGGTTGGCTGATAGGCAGCCTCAGCAATACATCCCCAAGCCTCTAAGGTTTCAAGCCTGTAGTCTCCATAGTCACCAGATGGCAACATAGTTGTGTTATGGTATCACTAGTTACACATTACAGCTCCCCATTTCACTTCGCATCTTTCACGTGACTGAAAGCAGGCAATCTCTTTTTAAATGCAGCCTAAACGTCCCTAAACGTCCATTTAGATCAATCAACAAATGCAATCTAGACAAATGTTTCAAGTAAACTAGCTTTCACATGGCTGGGTGAATAAGGAAATGGTCGGATACAGACTTCCCATTTGTCTAGAATGTAACTCTTCTGAATTTTCTGAACATAGGTTTTTACAAAAAGGATCTTGTTTTACAAGCCTGTTCTAATGCCACACTCACCACTAAAACAATAACTGCAGTTAGTCAATGTGGCATCTCAATTATCTTCAGTTAACACTACACTATGAAAAAGTGCTTGGAGATAAGTTAGTGAATACAAAAAGAATATGTCTGATGTAAACAAAGTTTGATCTGCCAATACTCTGTCTGGGCAAGGGTTATGGCTGAGCTATGAAAAAACAGTGATAGATAAAGTGCATCCCTGGATGTGTACCCTTCCCCTGCTCCTGACAGCACTTGTTGAGCAGCTCAATACACAGGAACAGTCCATCAGTCCAGTGGCAGTACTTCATGAGATAAAGAAATTAAAATACAGGTTAAAAACATGGCATGGAGGAGTTTTTTTTAGTATAGGTTAAGTGGTGTCATCAGAAGGCTTGTAGTGACGGGGCTCTCTGTTGCCCTCATTTGTCAGGGCATGGCAGTACCTGTTAGTGATCATCCCAAATACTTACAAACCAGTGCTTTAACTGTTCACATTAGACCAGGACCCAGCCAGAAGCATCCATGGGACATGTCTTCAGGCTCATTTTGTCCTGGTGCTGGACTCAAAACAATCTTCAATGACAATGCTACCACTAAAATATGATGCCCTTAAATTTAGCAAGCACAAATGGATTTTCCTATTAAGGGCAGCTCTGTCTTATGTGGATATAGTG